AGGAATAAATGACACCAGAATGCAGTCACTTCCTCCTCCTTTCCCCTGCCCCCAAAGAGCAGAGAGGAAACAAGCATTTTCAGCACTGATGATTAGATTTCAATTTTTCTTGTTTCTAGATTTCGTGAAGTTTTGGCAGAAAATGATGTTTTACCCTGGGAAATAGTCTACATATTCAAGCAAGTTTTGAAAGATTTTCTTGCCACCAGTGAGAGAGAAAATCAACAAGACCAAATGGTAGATGCATGGAATACAAATTGCTCTGACCATCTCAGCCTGCGTGGAGACAGTTCTAACAAATCGGACAAAGATGAAATTCCCACGGTTTCAAGTTATGTCGACAAAAATACACAAAGCATGTTTCCCACCTTCTCTGATAGAATCTGGAATCTACCCTACTACTACCCGTCAGGTTAAGTTAGTTTGTCTTTCAAAAAAGCTACGTAGCCTTCAACATTGCTTTCTTGTGACTGCCATCCACAAACATGGCAATAAGAAATGTGCCATGCTCCTCTTTTTTTCCAAGTTCAGAAATTAAAATCCTCGATTAGAGCTAGTATGCAGTAAACAAAAGTCCTTTTATCCTTATGGTTCCTTAAAGATACTGTGTTTGGAGGCACCTTTTAACCAAAAATGTAGATTAGCCATATAGAGCTAGACATATTTAAACAAGAAAGGACTGCTTTCCATATTTTGAATTAGCATCAATCCACAAAGATTTAGGCAAACACCTCTGTATTTGTCACACAGCTTTTAGGCTTTACGGGAACTTATACTGTGTAAAATAAATGGTTTAATATAGTATCAGTTATGCCAAATAAACTGTTAAATACATTTTGGAGCTGAATAGTTATTTCTCAAAGTCAAGAACTATTCTAAAATGAAAACAATGTCTGAAATTATAACATGCTGCATGTAGTGTTTCTATTTTTTTTTAACCTGAACTGTACCCCACATGTTCTTAAGTACAGTAACGGTAGACAACTAAATGAAAACATCAAACATTTAAAAGCATTCAAGAACTAGCTTTCTGTTCTTCCAGAAATTAATGAATTTTTCATTTCAGAAAGTTCTACATTTTACTGATTGGAAGCTACCCGGAAAGTCAAGAGTCTGCATTAAATTTCAATGTTTTCATCAAATCAGTACTTTTATAGAATAGCAGAAGAATCATCAGATCAATTCCAAAGCAAGAGGTGACCATTTTAAATTTAACAAAATTTCATGGTTTTCAGTTGCCATGATCTATCATTGTGGATTCATAATAAAGTTTTATAAGACTGATCTGATATGTAGCAGTTATGGTCACAGCAGAGAACTGGAGCAGAAAAATCAATGAAAACATATGCCAGAACTCAGTTTACTACATTTCCTACCACTGTATAGAAAAATTCTTATTTGCCTTATGTAACCTCTTCATCTCCAGATTTCCCTTTAATCTGTCTGCAGCACCATAAAGAATGGGCAAGATTCATACGGCCCAATTCACAAAACACACTTTCTTGAAAACATGCAGTAAAATTGCTTCCTCTGATTCAAACATACTGAAGAAAACATGCGGATTCTCTCAAGGTGGTAACACAACTGGAAGATATTTCCTTGTGCTGCACAGCTGTACCCCCACACAAGAGAGAATTTACTAATAATGCAACATAAATTGGGTGAAACAAATGGCAGAGTATTTTCCTAACAAATAAAAATATTAAAACAAACCAACCCACACCTTTGGAAAGCTTGGAATCTAGAGGACATTTAATACATAAGAGAGGAACATAATATACAGAGAAGGTGAAACTATCACAACTCCTGCATACACCTAAGGTACAAAGCACTAGAGAACTAGACTACATCAGTTCTGACAAATTTAGAATAATAAAAAATTGCAGCTCAATACCAAAAGTATTGAACTTTCCATAAATTAAACACACAAAGCTTCACTCATTATATCTGCACTCAGAGCTGGTACAAACTCTTCACCCTCCTTTGGTGTAGTGACCAGTTTATTGATAAATAGCAAAAGCATTGATCTCAACTTACTCTGCCTTATGACGCAGAAATAAAGGGCTTCAGATTCTTCTCATGCAGTTCTAAACAATCCAGACATGAGTCCCTGCATGAGGGCAGGAACGGTTTGAAAGAAAGGTTTCTCCTTAGTCATAAAACTCCCCAGAAAATTAAACTTAAGTACATTTCCCATAGTAAAGAAGGTAACCATAATACTGGTTTCAGAAGATAACTTTTATTTGGTCAAAGGTGCAAGATTCCTGCAATGACAATTCATGTAAATTTGTTTCCTAAAACGGTACCCTCACAGCTTTCTAACGGAAAATAGGTGAAAAAAGCCCTAAAAATCTAAGTTACAAATTTTATTTTAAGGAAAATGGTAGGTTACTAAAGATGCAAAGTCCACTTACCTTTATGATCATCAAAAACAAGTAGGGGAAAAAAACCAAAACCACACAACAAAAATGAAACCACCCAGCTGACCCAATCTTCGTAACACCCAGACACAGCTGACCAAATCTTCGTAACACCAAGCACCCAGACACAGCTGACCCAATCTTCATAAATTTCACTTTAATATAAGCAAATACAGTCTTCTAAGTCCACAAGGACCATCATACTACACCATATGCTAAAAGGCAGTCACTAGATAATAATTAAATGTATGTAGGCATCAGACCCAATTCAGTGTTAAATCCCAATGAAATGCTAAGGAAACACACAAAAATGCTTACCTACTTTCATACACATGTTCTATTGATGAAACTGATACTAGGCTACTGCATCCGGTTCTAGTGTCCACACTTGGGAGGAAATGAGAAACCAAACTGGGAATTGGAGAGGGTACAGTTAATAAATTTATCCAGAGGATGGGAAAATGCCAGCCACTAAGATCTCACTTTGTCCATTTTTTTCAAATACAGAAATAAGAGGTAACTACACAGAATATGAACACTTTAATCTGATGGAAATATTAGGTATACTCTCCAGATAAAAAGTGGAGAGAAGCATAGAAAAAGCAAAGGTGTAAGAGCATGAAGACAAGCTAAATAAAGTCAAATGTATTTTAAAGATATCTGCCAGGTTTACTGCAGAATGCTGTAAAGTGAATCTGCACCTCAGTCTGCTAGCCAAGATGAGCTATTTTCTGGAATTCAGTTTACCTTTAGGTCAGGGAGCAGTAAGATGGCTGTAGGTCAATCATCATTTCTCTGAAGATAACTGGCTGAGAACTGTTTCTTTAATCACTTTTTATTTATGACTCAAAGGATTTTCATGAGCTGATCTGAGACTATTTTGTTCCTTAAACTCTCCCAGCTGGCATTTCTGAAATGGGCAGGCAGCCAACACACACTACTCAGGTTACATAAAGGTGAGTGATAACGATATCAATGGGCAAAACAAACAGCATGCAATGTTTTCAGCCAAATAAGGTGGCTATAAAAAAGGGCTAACCTGGTGAAAGCTACACCTATGAAATGCAAGAAATCAAAGAAAGAATAACCATTTTTTCTACACTTAAGCCTTTAAGGGTTTTAATGTGAGCCACAATTGTTTTGATAACAAGGAAGGATTTAAGGGTCTAAATTACCTTCCATTCAGTTAAACATATTCATAGAAGTTAAACATATTCATAAAAAGTTCGTCAACCAGCTATTTAAGCATCAAAACTCCAACCACAATTTCTGAGACCTATTATCTTTCCCTAAAATGCTCAATTACTAATACTGCTACACTAGAGATAGTTAACAAGATAATCTTAAAAGCCTTGAAAAACGAGGCATCATTGGCAGAGGAAGAAAACACCTTCTACAAGTCTTTTTACGGGAGACATGAGGCTTTCAGATCCCGTTAGACCGTCTCAGTAACAACTCTGTAAAATATTAGTTATTACACCCATTCGTGTGCAGTAACACACCTGTTATTATCATTACAAATTTGGTATTAATCTTATATATTCTTACACATAAACTTAGATGGAAGAAGTAGGAAAGCCATCTCCATCACTAATAGCATATCCTGCTTGAAGTAAATATAAATAAGCATTTAAAAAATTTGATGTAATTTTTGGTTTGATTTTCCCAAGAAACAAACCAAGATTTTGGAAGAAAATAATAAAATAGACTACTGTGCTACAAGCAGCCTCAGGAAGAGAGAAACTCTTTTGTTTTCAGCTCTTCAAACTTTTTCTTAAGAAACCAGTGAATAAAACTGAAACATCTTCTGATGGAACCTAAACCTTTCCAAAATTGAAGTTCTGCAAAACCTCCCTAAACATAAGCACATTTCCAGAACTGTGAAACAAAACATAGCTATGGAAACACACCTTTTTCTTTTCAGTATGCAGCAGAACACACATGCGCCTACCATCTATGCTCAAAGCTTTTATACGTGTCTAATGATGAAAAATTCTGTCCACACATACAGAAATGGCTATTTAGGGTGCATAACCCCCCTCTCTCTGTTCTACAGATGGGAAAGAAAAACAGAAAAAAAACAACCTGTGAAAGTAAATTCTGTTAACCTACCTGTGGGGGCTGGCAGTTGTGTTATCTGTTCAGGCTTTTGAGTGAAAAAAAGCTATATGTCTTATCAAAGACAAAAGATTTGCTTCTGCCTAGGCAGATAAGGCTCGATCAATCATACTAATTTCTCCTATGTTACTTAGTAGATTTTAATGGCTTAGAGTTCAGTTGGGTTCAAGAACCTCTTGTCAAACCCTAAGTATTACAGAAATATTACTGGCTTTATTTAACAGCCACAAACATTACTGAGGGTGCTAAGCTGGAATACACAACCCACCATCCAGGCCCACACGGGGTGGGTGAAGCACAAGAGCCAGTCCAGACCATGTAAAAACACCCTGCCCACCGAGGCCCACAGACACACTCTCCAGGAAAGGGAGGCCACATGTGCCTTCACAGACAACCCTTCATTTTAGGCGTAAGGAGCACCTGCTGGCTGCTAAAATCAGCAGCCCAGTACCCCACACTTACCCTACAGCTGCTAATGGCTCCTGCATAGCAAGAGGGGCACGGGAGTGACTGGGCAGTGTGCCGCCCAATAACTCGACGTCAGTCACAGTTTTGCCTATAGCGAACCAGTCGTTAATCTGCTCCTCGGTCAGTTTACGCAACATGGCGACAACACACACCTACTCTTCCATACCTCACGCCGACCCTCTTTCCCGCCCTCAGCCAGACCCCGCCCCGTGAATGAAAGGGCCGGTTCCGCTGCTGTAGGAAGGCTGAAGGGAGGGAAGAGGGGCAGAGGGGAGGGCGGAGCGTGTTCGCAGGTTCATTCCTGCGCTGGTAAGGGACTCTCGCCTTTCCCAGCCACGCGAGTCGGTGGGTGGTCAGTTTCCCGCTCACACCCACGGAACAGTGGCCGTGAGGTGCTCTGGAACCCCAGTCGCTGTGTACTGTTCGTCGCCTGGAGGAAGTGGTTCACAGGCACGTAGATGTCTCAGCCCTTCGAAACCTGACCCGGCGGGTGCTTCCCGGTCCTTTAGGAGAAGCATTCTCTAAGTGACACGCTACACGAAGACTCGGTTCAAGCCAATCCCAGCGTTGTCCTTGCACGGGGCTCCTAGTGCGTTCCTTTCGCGGGGGGCTGGAGTAAGGCGCTAAGAAAGGACTATGAGACTGCGCACGGGTCTGTACAGCGATATGAGCTCCTTGAGGGCTGGGCAAGGACCTGGAGCGGTTGAAGGGGAGCGGGGACGTGGCAGGACTTCGATGTTGAGGAGCGTGAGGTGCGGGCGGATGCAGGTAGAAACTGGGATATCGAGGGCGCTCTCGTCCTCCGCAGCGGTAGGGGGCGCTCCGCGGCAGCGGCGCCTGTCGCGTTCCAACGACTTTGCTGGGTGATGCGTCCTTTCCCAGCATCTCCCGCGGCGGTAGCGGAGGCGGTGTGTGCTCGGTGACCTTCTCTGGCAGCTGGGTCGCTTCCCGCTGTAACGGTGCGTCTCGGCTGGCCCGCTGCAAGCGGGCATCGCGGTGGTTGTCTCGGGGAGGTGGTTGTGGGTCAGCCTGGGAAAGGAGATATGGGGGGAGGAGAGATCAGCGGAGCTCAAGTCCTGCTGTTACTCCCTCCCCTCTCCATGGGCCTGGGGGTCAGGCCACGGTCGGGCAGCGAGTCCCCTGGGCTGCGCTGGGGTTATGGTGGTAGGCCAGTGAGAAAGCAAATTCAGCGTTAGCCCGGGTAGATTTGAAAACAGGCCTGGACGGCGTTGCGCCCATCCATGTCTTGGGGACAGGTTTCTGCCAGGTTTAACAGGGTGTTCCTGGGAAATAGCACTTACTTGGTGTTTTGTAGTGGTAGGAAGACCCTTTTTATTCAATTTCCTTATTTTTAGCAGAATGACTGCTACTCTGGCCCTGGTAATCTGAAACTACAAGTATTGGAAGCTCTGGGGAGGTGCAGTGTTCTTTATAGTATTGGTGAAAGCACAATACTGTTTCACGAAATCTGTCCACAATAATAAATTTGATAGAATTTAAATCCAAACACAATAAATGGGGGGGTTTCTATAATTATGCATTGATTACCATGAAGGTGCTTTAATGCTTTAACAAGCACATATATTTCCCAGTTGTGTGACGCTGGCTACCCTTGCCTCCTTTTATCAGCTGTAGTTTAATATTTTTTATTGTCTTAGCTCATAAGTTGTGACATTAACTCTGAATTTTTACTGCTGTGCTTTGGAGTATGTACTTCTGCATGTTTGGGGATTTTTTAAATTTTTTTTTTAAACATGTAAACTGCTGCTGATATGTATCAGGAGTGTGTATATACATTAGAAGTACAGCAGGTAAGAGGCCAGTTGCAAAACTCACCATGGCAAAACTCTTACAATTTTCAGATGATGCAGAACATGATTCCAAAGTCATTGAAAAGCATGAAATTCTACTTTACTACGGTATATCAAGAAATATGGGTTGGTGTAGCATTAACAGCTTATGCCTATTACAAAATTTCATATGGTGGTAAGTTACACGTTACAGTTTTCATTAGCTGTTACTTTATATATAAGGTTTGTAAATGACAATATCCTTAACAATTAGAAATCACTTCTTGAAAATACCTAGCAAACAAATTAACACTCTTACTTAAGTCCACATCTTTGCCATAAAAGTTTAGAATGGTGTCCAGATTTGAATTACGAACCAGCATAAGTTCCTCAGAGCAAAAGGGTATAACAGATCACAGTGTCTTGAAGGTCCTGTTGTTCAATTTAGGCTGTGTTGAAAAAATTCTAAGCCAAACCCTTTACTAGCTGTCACTAACAATGAAATGTTAGAGACTGTAAACAGAGTTGACAGGGAAAGGAACCCCTTGCTGTGGGAGCAGGTGAGTGATGTTACTTCAACATTTCTCTAGCTTTGTCCAAATAATTTGTAGCATGTCTAAAGCTGTTCACTACATTTACAAGTTTAAGTAAATAAAAGTAGTTGCACATGCAGAGAGGGGAAAAAAAAAATGTTAAATTTTGCTTTAACAATTTTGCTGAAAGAGAATTCAAAATTGACAGACTTTTCAAGTTTGTGTTCATGTCATGCTACTTTTCTTTTTATTTATGATTTAGATAATAGATGTGATGGTGTAGGGTTTTGAGGGCCAAAACCTTGATATGGTTCCCCTGGATGCTAAGCATTATTTTAAAGTGAAAATAGCTGTAGCCTTTTATGCAGTTTGGAGAACAATTTTGCAAATAATACGTATATTTGTAGAAGAGTATGTAATAGAATAATTTAGATTGGTTGGCATCTTTTGAGCTCACCTGGTCCAAACCACTGTTTAAGTAGTTAAATCAAAGGTAGATGAGGTTGTTCATTGCCATTAATTTGAATTTCAAATTAATGTATCCAAGGGTGGAGATTGAACAACCTCTTATGACAGTCTTCCTCATGAGGAATTTTTTCATCTATTTTTGTCTGATTGCTGTGAATCAGTATTTTAGGAGAACAATTACAATGGCAATGTAAACGAAACTATTTTACTCATAGAGGAAGATTGTAAAGCAAACTGTATTCTTACCACTTCAGTTTACATCCGTATGTTATGTCTGTGTATATCCATATATTATGTAAAAAAGTACCATTATGTATATGTTTCTTTTGAATTAAAGTAGGAAGTAAGATCTTGATGGCTGCAATTTCTAAATGCATGGAGCCTAGGTTAATTAAAAACAAACAACTTTTAAAAAATCAGTATCAAGTTTAGTGTCTTTTAAAGTGAAATGTATCATGGAAAATACATGTTGTACACTTGTTAGAGCTTGTTCAAGCTAAATTAGCAAATCATAAGTCATATAATTAAGTTTATCTGAAAAAAAAATTTTTTAAACTTTCATTGTTCAGCTTTTTTTTTTTTTTTTTCAGGAAAAAAAGCAGTGGCAGATAGTGAGTATTAAATATCTAATACCCTGTTCTATTTTTTTAAATGAGTGCAGTAAGAATTAACTTAGCATATTTTGTTTGTTGTTTAACTTACGGATTTAGAAAATATTTAGAGATTACTTCAAAATACGTAGCTTTAGTTGTATTGGTGGTTTTATAACCTAGAAACATCTTTGAGCTTGCACAGATGCTATGTCTTGTCTTAAACTGTCCTTTGCATAAGTTTTAGGGGTAGAATGACTTGGGGGGGGGGGGGGGGAGGAATTATTTAAAATAATAGTAAAAAACATTTAGTGGAATGGCTTAAATCAGCACAATCTCACAAGTAACTGCTGCTTTAGCTGTCAAGAAACTAAGAAGTGTAAACCTGTATTTTGAATGTGTATTTTAATGTTTTCTGTAATGTAGTGTTTAGATGTTTATGGACAGTTTCTTCTGACATCACACTGGAATTCAGTTTTCCATGAACTGCTGTATCTCAGTTAACATTCTGAGCCATGATAGATAGCCCATTTGCTTCCAGTTGAATTTGTGTATGCAAACATTATTTTTGTTTTTAAATGTGCAATTAGTGAAAATACTGCCCAGTTGAGTTAAGGATAATAGCATAAATAAACCTCAGTTTAGAAGGAACCCTTTACTGCCTATTAATAGTGCTTTAAAGCTTGCAAAGGAGGATTTTTAGTATTGACCAAGTTTATATATGTAGTTTGAGGGTTTTATTTGATACAGAATCTGCAATTTGACAAGAACCTGCCAGTTCATATGCTGAGATGTTAGTTTTCTCTTCTAGGTTCTGAACTGTGTTCCTGAGTTGATTTGCTCTACTGTTTGAACAGTCTAAATCGTGTCTTTTGTTTCAGAATCCTCTGGTGCTGGCCATCATTAAAGACCTCTTCTCTTCTTGGAAGTATGGATTTGTTGGTTCATCATCTTTACTGTAAATGAAGCAAGTTACAACCATAGGGAAGTTAATTCTAAAACTGTCCCTGATCCATCTGCTGTAATCAGAGACAGAAAAAAATCCATTGAGCAACAAGGAATTAAACATGTTGGACAAAGTGTCTTGGAGTGTATTGTTAACCTCATTTTTAGAGTAAGCATTTTTTGTTTTCTACAGTTCTTCCAAGTTCCATGTTAAACTTTTTCAGTAGTGCTTTGAAAAAGACCAAATTTATATCACTAAACTTTTTGATAGAATTAGATGACATTTCAAGCATTCTTTTTGTTTTCCTAATGATATCTTTTTTTTTGGCTAGGACTTTTGAAATTTACTTACTGCATTTACTTTTAAAATGTAAATGGTATGCCAAGTGTGAGGACTTAATTCTCAGCTTTTTGTCAACTTGTGGTGCAATAATTAACAGTAAAAAAAAAAGTTCTTTTTTAAAACCTCATAGTTTTTTAGGAGTTCTTAGTTCTATAAGGTTTAAAAGTAAAAACTGTATTGTTACTAAAACACAATGCAAAATGTTTACAAAGGTTTTTAAAAAGTACATTATTGGCAACTGTCATTTCTTGTCTTTCATATTCAGTTAGAGGTAAGGAATTACTCTGAAAGGCCCTTCCATTAACCACAAATTTTGCAAGGGAGTAAGTAATAATGTGCCCATATGGTAGGAGAAAATTTATGTTACATGTGCCCTCATCTGCCATTTAAGCTTATGAAATGATCAGAATTAAAAAGGAATGATGAAATCATGCAGTGTGGCAACAGTTAACATGAACATAAACAAACTTTGACTGGAAAAGGTTTTCTTTTTTCCTGAAAA